CAGAGCTTAAAATTAACCCTCCTGTTCTGACTTTAAACCTCCCCCCCATCCCTTAACCTATCCAGTCTAACACCTGAGCTGAGAGTAAGAGAGGAGTGAATGACAAGTCCTAGGTCAGACCCTGGGAAACACACAGGGATATAATATCACCCTTTTGTTCTCTCCAGAGCAGAGAATTGCCTGTTACAAAAAAACCAGTCCTTTCTTATAAAACTTACCCACCCTCTCCTCAGTTGAGGAAATCTTGTGACACTGAATGGATCAAGTTGTTTGAAAAACATAAAGACCTTTCTAACAGAGGGGCTTATTACTAAATATGTATTTAGTTACAGAAGTGGCATGGCTAACAGTAGTTTGCCGGACCATCAATGGTAAAAGCACTTCAAAATCACACAGCTGAAAGCATAAAAATGTGGTTTACAAGCAGAAAAAAAAACCTCGCTGGAATAGGCAGAAACATAAGCAAAAATATGGAAACAGGGTGTTGAAAGGGAAGGAAGAGAAATACATTTCCTGATCTCCTGCTGTCTACAACTGCAGTGTTTTAATGTCACATATACTCAAAAATATTTCTCACAAATGTTTATATTTTTATATATGTTTATATTTTTATATTTTCTCACAAATTATATTTCTCACAAATGCTTATAACTATAGAAGTTTGCTCTCTCTGTAGAAATACTTCTTCAGTAGGATCAGTTCCTGGACTAGAATATATGAATTGTGATCCTCAAAGAAATCCCTTTCCCATTACGATAACGCAGGCCTAGAAAGATATTTTACACAAACCCCTCCTCCCACCTCTGAATCTAACAAGACCAAGACACATTCCCACCAGAAGTAACAAGAATAATAATTTATCTTTCATAGACAGAATAATAGTCCTTTACTATAAAGTTACAACTTTAAACAATCAATTATATAAATGAACCTGTATCAACAAGACATTTGTCCTACAACCACTGAAAAAAAAAAAGTGAAAGAATGATGCTGTGGAGGTTTTATAAACACCTGAAAGATTACTAAAGAATTCATTTCCTCTCAAATCTTTAGCACTGAAGAGAGTTCTGGAACTATATCTCAACACTCTCCAGCTAGGAGTTTACTCAATAAACTGTATTTATTCCAGCTCAAAAAATACACTTCACTTTAAATGCAGAAGGAAGATCTGTACAGACAAATACTTTGGCTCAATTTAGTATGGCTGATTCAATTTAAATAAACAGTAAAAGGACTGCACAGTTTAAGTCTAAAAAGGCACACCCTGTGCCTGGGGAAAGCTTCTCTGGATAACAAATTCTCTACATCAGCTGAAAATGGAATGAAAACATCAAAACTACAAAACATATGCAAGATTGTATTTGTTTTAAGAATGGGAGGAATACTTATATTTACTGACTTCAAGAAAACAGGATAAAGTATAAATATTTGTAAAAGGCAATATAACGCAGGCAAAAGGAAAACTAGGAAAACTGGCATGTACAGTAGCAGCTGGATTTGTGTATGCTTTTTGAGCTCAGCAGTACTCACAGGCATTTGAGGCTGAAATTTTTAAAGAAATGCAGTGGGGAGTTTTCCACAAATTGCTGAAAAGAATGCACATTATTTGTTAAAAGTTAGCATGACAGATCTAGATACAACCTCCCTTCTACTACCTTCTCTGTAAGGAAACTCCACATTTCTGCTGGGAAATGCTACTCCTCCTTGGCTGGGACAGATTATAGCTATGCCATCCTGATGGTTTTGCCCTTTGTGCCTTGCATCAACCTTTATTTCTGAGTAAGCAAAAGTCAGATATTTGTCTATTTTGCCAGCCAGGTCATATTAGTAATAATAATTTTTGTTCTCCTTTGCAAATAAAGTTAGTGCTGCCACTTCCCCTTCACTGCCATACAAACAGGCTCATAAATTTTTTTGCAGTGTTTTTCAAGCTGCCAGGCTTACAGTTCAAGGGTTTATGCACGTCCTACAGTGCAAAATGCAAGTAAAACACTCTTGCAGGAACAGGTCAGTTGTCTGTTTTCTATTTCAGTTTCATCACCAGCTGAGGCTGACTTAACTTTCAGAAGGAAGAGTTTCCTCTGGGCAGCCTCAGGAACTCAAAAAGGAAGGTGAAAAGGGCATTCTCACCCTTTCCTACCAAGTACTGTGATTTTAACACAGATTTTCTTACCTTGGAACTTACCCTTGGTTCAATCTCATAAAAAAACCTGACCAGAGGAGAGAGAGTGTTACATGTTTAACCAATATTCTTAACTACTTACTAAGCTGTAAATATAATTCATGACTGAAACCAAAACTGGCACAAAAGAGGTTCAGTACTGGCTCAAGGCAGCTAGTTGCCTGGTTAGACTGAATCATATTTCCTGACGTTTTCAGCAACCAGTGAGAGAACGGCCAGATGGATAGCTAGAATATTCTAGCTACCCAGGCAGCAGAAATACAGAAAAAAGTCAATCCAGTGAGTGTCTGACATGTCCTTTAAAAACCCACAAAACTGTAATTGTAACTATTCTATTTTTAATTAACAACATATTCATTTGGTAGAAATGAAAGTGTCAAAGGTAATTATGCTAAGTGATTTGGAAGCAGGCAAAAAAGAAACTTGTTCAAGACCCAGGCAAGTACAGAAGCCCACATTATCACAGAATCATAGAATCACAGCATGGTAGGGTTGAAAGTGACCTCTGGAGATCATATTGTCCTATCCCTAGGGTAGGTCATACATTGTATACAGGAACAGCAACAGTATCAGATACTTCGTAAACTTGGAAAAACAAGTCAAGTGATAAGATTACTGCTGGTATAGAAAAGAAGCACTTAAGACAAAAGACTTATGGCAAAAACTACTGTTCCTCCTCAGCTTATGTTCTCTGTGACAGCTCCACTGGAGAATGTCTCCGGGAAACAAAATTACACAATACTAAAAGAAGGATAAGCTGATGAGGTATTAACTTCAAAGATCTCAAATGCTACTAAGACTGGGCACATCTGCCCAAAACACCTAGAGGATAGGCTAGGGAGTCCTAAAACTTGAGAATATATAACTATGAGCTTAGCAGGCTCTAGATACCTTTCCTACTGGCTGTAGCTTTGAGGATTATGGAGTGCATCATAGTAACTTCCCCAATGGCCAACATCCTTAATGTCATTAGCAGAACAGGACAAAACCCCCCACTCCTTTGTTCTCTAAACATAGTGGGAATTAGGTCAAATACTTCTTAATTTCTGAGGCTTAAATGCATAATTGTTTTGTCTGCAACTAAAATATGAAATGCAGTAATAGAGATCAGATTATGCAGAAAGAATGCAAAAGTATTGACTGTGTAACAACATTTAAAAATTAATTATGTGATCTTCTGTTAT